AAACAAAAAAAAACAGAAGAATACCCTTTCCTCTTCTGTTTAGGTGTATTGGATCGGAGGTAACAGGTGTAAATGGACAGCAAAGTCCTTTTACTCTCAGCCGCCCATAGAGCAGAGTGTGCTCTGTCCATGTCCGTTCTGCATAAACTGAGCAGACATGGATGTGTCACCCACCAGCTCTGTTTCGATCAGCAGGGGATCAGCTCACAGATTCCCTGCTGATCTGAACAGAATCCACCCTGTGTTCAAGGGGCATTATCGGCAGTGGTAAATCAAGCATGGGACAGGTACACACAGAACACTCCAGATGGGTTTGTCCCAGGGGTGGACTGACAACCCATCGGGCCCCTGGGCAATAGGGGATCATGGGGCCCCTGTGTCCTTGCCCAAACTCAAAAAAGCCTATGAAAAAGGTACCAGGGGCATCTCATGGGGCCCCCTACTGACCCCGGGACCTCGGGCAGTGCCCGAGTTTCCAAATGGTCAGTCCGCCCCTGGTTTGTCCTATACATCCTCTAGTCTGATCTACTAACTAAAGAGGCAGGGTGATGGCATCATGATCTCCAACTCAACCATTCAAAGAACGCTCTGTATTCATTGAAAAAGATACAAGGCATTCTGTGAATGGCGGCAGTGCTGGGCAAGCAACCCCCTGTGGTTACCATGCAGCAGGGCAGCAGCTCGGCACCTGATCTGGAAGATGGCTGCGATCACTGAAATAGCACAGAATACTACATTGACTGTCAGCTTCCCCAGAGATTGGTCAGGTCTGATCTGATCCCCTTGACAACGTCTATTGAGACGAAACGTATGTTGGGGTGGGCGGAGATTGTGCTGACGTCACCCGCGCCTGTCTGGAGCTGGCACCAGCGCCGTTTAAAATTTACATACTTGCGGATTCTGTTGGTTTTGTAAGTGTAATTTTTGTATTTCAATGGTTTTTATTAATTTGTAAATATTTCAACAAGACTTGAGCAGCAAGACACGCCCACACAAGGGCTATCAATGGCACATAAAAAGTAAAGAAAACAGTGCTCTAACACCAACAGAGCAAAAGGTGCGACCACGCAGGAGCTATCAATGGCACATAAATTACAAAAACAGTGATATAACACTGACTGTAGCTCAAACCAAAGGCATATCCACCGCCTCACAAAAGGCAAGCAAAAATAGAAAGGAAAAAGGAGTAGAAATGGAAGAAGAAGACAAGACCAGGAGCAGGGGTCTGGGAACTCCAACACCGAACAACATCACAAACCCAGACTAGTCAGGGGGAGTGTGGGAAAAGCATATGTCAACCACGGCTCCCATATTTTCAAAAATTTCAGTTGGGAGTCGTTACAGATACTTGACATCTGTTCATTGAGCATCAGAGTGGTCATACCGTCCCGCACCCCCTGAAGAGGGACAGACGGGCTCGTAAGTGTAATTTTTAATCATTTTATTAAAATGAAGTCTTACTGTCTTGACCAAGCATGCAGCGGATCAAATAAGGAGACAGAGAAAAATGGTGATACTGGTGATCCGTGACATCTTCCCCCATCTTGGAGATTACCAAGCAAAGCGTATTCAGCATCATGCGTTATTAGACCCCTATAATTCGGAGTCTAATTATCTGGTAAGAGGCAGTGTGTCTTTGCGATTGGTGGGCACAGACAGTCACCTATTATATCATTTTGAAGACAACCGTGCATGTGGCTATTCATTTTCACTGTTTGTTGATTGGAACACTTATTGTTAGTACTCATAATAGTGCAACAATATTTATATACAAGGATATATGCATACTCACATTGGTCCATACAGGATCAATGTAACTATGCAATAAAATTCATACCTAAAGTTCAGCTTTAGGCTTGCATTCATATCGTACTGGATTGATTATTATTATTATACAGTATTTATAAAGCGCCAATAGTTCGCTCAGCGCTGTACATTACAAAGGGGGACAGAACATGTGACAGAACAATACCAATACAATGCAAAACATGAAGGGATTGAGGGCCCTGCTCTTTTGAGCTTACAATCTAGGAGTTATGATTCTAGGAGTTACAATCTAGGAGTCTATGATTGATAGAGATATTAGTACGATACAAATGGCAAGACACATGTTTAAAAAGGTTTGGAATATATTAAATACTAGGGTTACTTTCATCACTGCAAAGCAGAGTGTTTCCTGAAGAATCCAGCTCACTGAAGACTGTGAAAAAAGATCAGTGAGGTGGAAATCGTCAATGCTGAAGAGCATACAGACTGGTACTAACATGGTTGGGCACCCAAGCTTTCAAACCTCTTGGACCAAGTATACCAGCCCATGAGGTGTTCAGGCTGGTAGTGATCATGGAACAGGGCTGTGGATCTGGTGACTCACTGACGGAGCAGATTTTTTGATTATTTGTTTATCTTTCATCAACATTTCAAAATCATAGTTTTAACATGCATATATGAGGTCACCTACTTGTGCAATGTGCTACTATGAAAACATTTTACAGTCAATAAAAATAATGGCAGAAGGTTTCATCTACCCCGTACCCAATTTTATTTCTGTGCTATGAGTGCTCTGCGGGGGTTACGTCTGATCTAGTTGACATGACATGTTCCTATCAAAACCACTCAGCTGCCGGCAGAACATGCATGAATATATTCAACAATGTAATCAGCAAGACGAAAGAAAACGAGGTACACATGGTTATTCATGAAGAGCATAAATCACATCTCTTCTCAATTATTATGTATGAGGGCACCAAGAAATGGTAATTAGCTTATAACCTGGTGCATTATTTATTACACACAGACACAACACTCTGAAATTGGTGTAACCATAAAAATGGCATGACTCAAACCGAAACAAAATTCATGATATACATGGAATGTAGCTAAATGCATGTGGCCTATCAATTCGCCACCTTCCTGTAAGTGGAATGTAGACCACAGCTGTCTCACACAGGAAGCTGCCATGAAATTTCCTGCTCCATGATGGCCTATGGGAAACATCTACACAGCCAGATACAGCATGCTGCAAGTCACTGATAATAAGCAGCAAAAAAAAAAGCAGTTTCACCATCCTAAAATCCGGTAGTCCCAGCTTCCTCCATAAATAAAACCAAGGTGACCCCATCCAATGCCTACTTGTAAAGTCATTCCTTTTTTGTGTAACCAGTCCTTTTTTTCTATGAGTGGACCTGATGCAATATAGCTACTATATACTGAGAACAGAGACTTCTGTTTTCTGATTATTAAATTATCAGATCCAATTTGACCCTTTTAAAATATGCTTGAACCCTGCCTGACCTTTTTGTACCATCTTAACGCCTACCAGTAAGAGACTATAAAATGATGTTGCGTCATTCATCCTTCTGGTCTCCTGGTCATTGGAGTGTTGTAGGAATACGAAATAAAATGAATTAAAACATAGTTAAAAATATATATTCAGGATGCGGTCAATTAAAAACATATAAACATATATTTACATCTCCCCTTACTATTGGTATTAACGTATGTTAAAGTGTATTTGCTGCCACAGAAAAATATGGGTCGACTATTACTAAAGCTATGAAGATGCAAGGTCTTCTTATCTTGTAGACCCCCCAATGTACAGTTAAATAAAAAATAAGAATGAAAAAAAAGTAAAAGTTCCTCCCTTTAAATGAGGATGACATCATGATTCTGAGAAGCCCAAATCTTGGGGGAATTTGCTCCAGCACTGTGCAGAAGCATCTTTTCATGAAATTTGCAATGTTCAGCTTTTCCTGGAATAGAGGAGAAGAGCCAGTGATGCAAGCTTACCTATACTAACGGGTTGATTTACTAAAACTGGAGAGTGCAAAATGCAGCTGTGTATGGTAGCCAATCAGCTTCTAACTTCAGCTTGTCCAGTTAAAGTGTTACTAAACTCAGGACCCTGCATTCACTATATCTGATCTCCCACAGTACACAGAGCATGGAGATTATATTATTTTAGTAATTATAAACTGTTAAATACCTTTTCTCATCAGCAATGTATAACAGTCTTGTGACTTCTATCGATCACTGGTTAATCTTGTAGAAGGAGTTTTCATTCTCCTCTGACTGTCCTATGAGGCTTCATAACGCCTGACCCTCTGTCTGGACACTGCTGACTGGCCCTGTGCTGAGCACATGCACCCTCCCAAAGAAAAGAAAAAAAATCTTTAGCAATACACACTAAACTGAGCATGCGCAGAGTGATTCCTAGAGCTCTGGACTATCAGCAGATGGATTGGGGACAGTAGAAGAGGAGGATCAGAGAAGACAGGATCAAACAGCCTTTTTACACAATGTGGAGGATTAACTCCTTAGGTTCCCCATGAGTATAACAAGCATGCTTTACTGTATATACAGACTGATTTTCCTGTGTGGGTTTAGTAACACTTTAAGCTTTGACAATAAAACCTGGAAGCTGATTAGTTCCTATGCAGAGCTATGCCAGATTTTGCATACTCCAATTTTAGTAAATCAGCTCTTAAGTGGCCAGAAAGCAAGGATGTAAGGTGGACAACTTATACATTTCTATCTTGTGTTTTTTAAGAAAGTCACCATACAAATATAATTTTACACAAATGGTTCTCCATGCAAACAATTTTCTGTGAAAATTTGCAAAATAAAAAAAATAAAAAAAATCTCCATTTAACTTGGTCACAAACTTCAGCTGGCTTAACACAAAGTGGATTTTATCCCGTCCATAATTTGTATATTAACCATCCCGCAGAAAAATGCCCAATGCCAAGGATACATTAATATATGCTCTCCCCTCCAGAAGCAGAAGATGATATTTTGGGTGGCTGCTGGTTCTAAATACAAGCTGCAACTGATAGTGGTGCATGCAGGAGAGTTCATTCATCCTGGCAGAAGCCAAAATTGTACAGCTGTACAGCATTTCATAACTAAAATGATATGTAAGTCCTATCCAGGGGCAGACTGGCCATTCGAGCACTCGGAAACTGCCCCATGAGATGCCCCTGGTACCTTTCATTGGCTTTTTCATAGGCTTTTGTGGGTGTGGGCGAGGACACAGGGGCCCCATAATCCCCTATTGCCCGGGGGCCCCATGAGTTGTCAGTCCGCGCCTGGTCCTATCCTTCTTCTGGATTCACGTTCAGACATGGTGAACCACTTATGTCTTTGTATACAAAAACCTGACCAATCACAGGGTTGCAGAGGGCCCTTTACCAGCATGCAAAGATGAAAACTTGTCTTAACTGTATCAAATAATATGCTGGCTAAGTTACTCAGTGATTTGAAGACAGTGCTCAAAATTATATTTAGCTATACACAACTGATTTAATGCTTATCCAATAGCATCATTTTTTAATGCAATTTTTAATGAAAAATAGGAAAGCCTTTGTACAAAGTTTCCAGAAAATAAGATAAGTGATGTAACAAACATCATAATAAAAATAAAGGCATAAACCTATCAAAGAGGTAGCACACCTGGGAACACCTGGTAGCTATACATACACTCACCGGCCACTTTATTAGGTACACCTGTTCAATTGCTTGGTAACACAAATCGCTAATCAGCCAATCACATGGCAGCAACTCAGTGCTTTTAGGCATCTAGACATGGTGAAGACAACTTGCTGAGGTTCACACCAAGCATCAGAATGTGTAAGAAAGGGGTTTTAAATTAATTTGAACGCGTCATGAACAAAATTAATAAATGTGATCCTTGTGAGCTACTATGGTGTATAATTTAGGTGAATATATGTATAAAAATCTACCAGATAATTTAATATATCATTGTATGTTTGATATATGTGCAATAAATTAAAACAATTAAACTAGTATACAAATAATTGAGTAAATGAATAAATAAATAATTAAATATTTCAATAGGTTAGCACAGACAAACACACATGTAAAAGGGATCAGGGACAGCACTGCAGCAAGGAGGAAAAAGATCTCTGGGAAACGGCGAAACCCCCTGCTGGGAAAAAGGAAAAACTCCATTCATTCATCCATCCATCTGGGCTTATCCATTTGTCCACCTCGAGCCCAATTAAAGGGACACAAGTTTGTATGACCTCACGTAGTGGTTTGGTCATATACGTCAGGTGAGAGCACAACTGGTGAAGGAGCACATTATATATGAATTGGTGGACTATATTTGTTTTGTAATACACCATTAGAAGACACCATAGGACTTTTCGAAGATATGCATGCAGCACTAGCGTGATTGCAATATCACGCCGTAAAAATGTATTAGGACTCAGTCACTTGATATTACTTGTTTGCAATTTATTTAATTAATTAATCTAATATATATATATATATATATTTAAATGTACTGATAGTGGAGCAGGTTTTGATTTGAACGTGTCATGGTTGTTGGTGCCACATGGCAAAAAACCGCTAATCTACTGGGATTCTCACGCACAACTGTCTCTAGGTTTACAGAGAATGGTCAGAAAAAGAAAAAATATCCAGTTAGCGGCAGTTGTGTGGACTAAAATGCCTTGTTGATGTCAGAGGTTAGAGGAAAATTGGCAGACTGGTTCAAGATGATAGAAAGGCAACAGTAACTCGTGTCAATATGGACCGAAATCTCTGAGGAATGTTTCTAACACCTTGTTGAATCTATGCCACAAAGATTTAAGGCAGTTCTAAAGAAAAAAAGGGGGTCCAACCCGATACTAGCAAGGTGTACCTAATAAAGTGGCTGGTGAGTGTAGATGTAAGCAGTACAAAACCTGGCATTAGCCCACATAAAACACAAAATAGGAGAGTCGGTGGCAGTAGTCTGCAAAGTACCGCTACAGACCATGGATCAGGGAAGTTGAAAGGGAAAAGCAAGAAAAGGAAAGGGAAAGGATCATAACAAAAAAAAGGGAAGAAAAGAAGAGGAGCCATACTAGGAAGACATTGGGAAAGAGAGAGGGGAAAGCAAGAGGTAGGCAGTGAGGGGGTATTAAGGTAGGTACAGTAGTAAGCACCAGGTAGTTCAGAAATAGACTTCAAAACAGTCCCAGGGTTCTCACACTTTTTCATAGGTAGAATGTGTGTTATTCAGTCTGGCTGTAAGAGCATCCTTGAGTTTGATCTCATGAATACGGGTAGGGAACTCTAGTGTAGTTGGACTTTGAGGCTGTCACCAATTGAAGGCTATCAGACTTCTGCTATCCATTAACACATGTAGAGTTTGTTTCCTAGCATCCCTAGGCATACTAGATGGAAGACCAAGCAGGAACATTGCCCGAGCTGAACTGTTACCTGTAGAAGCGCATATAAACGCACTTGCACTTCTAGATATAAGGACTGACTCACAAAACAAGTCCAGTATACTGTACATGGAACAATGTTCCTAAACATTGTTGTCATCTCCAGCGATGACATTTTTTTTTTTGACACGTGAACAAAAGTGTGAAAAAGATGCAAATATGTGCATTTGTGTTTGCATTTGAAATGTACGTTTTTATTATAGGCGTTGCATTGTTTCTACTTTCTGCCCAGGTTCTTAACACAAGTTCAGATTGTGAGTTTTTCAAGCAGAGTATTTTACAGACTGTAACTGAACTGGTCAGAATATATAAGAAGAGGATGAAGAAAAACATAAAAATCTAACAATACATGTTGCGTCCTTGACATGGCTACACAGACACTTGTCCTTGACAATTGAAAACAAGATCATAAACCAGCTTTTGCTGTTTATCTGTACACACCAGGGCATGAAGGGGAGTGAAATTCCATTCACCTACCAACAACAAGGCTGGCCAAACTGGTTCCATCACATGAGGCTCATCGTAAAGTCAGGTTAAGTTTAAAAACAGGAAATTGCTGTTTCAGAATACACTATCGCAGCTTCTTGAAAAGACAAAACTCTATGGTGTGATGGTATTCCTTCCTAATTTCTCCTGTCCTGGAAGAGCCGCCTCTATTTTGGGCTCTAAAGTTCTTCTCACCTATAATACTCTCCTTTTTGGACTCCTGATACATTATTTTGGTCTTATGAACTTAACAGCTAGCTCCAAGGCTTGTGTTTGTGAGGATATATATACCTGTATACTGCAAAGCACCAAGAGCTACAAGCGGTGGCGGTGCTGACTGATAAAGATGAAAATAGTAATTAGACAAAATAGTGTTTGCATCAGAACAGGATTTGCATTCTCATACAGGTCTACAGGAATGCAAAACCTGCTTGAAGTAAGTCAAATTCAGGTCAGAAGAAGGTCAACAGCAAGTCAAATGCACTTTTGGGCCCCATTTGCACGTCATGATTCCATGTCGCTTGGCAATCGCTGTAAAACCTACAACCCAAGTTTGGGTGCCATTATCCTTCAATGGCAATCCACATGCTATGTGATCATGGCATCTTTAAAAATTGCATGAGGCTTGTCAGCCAAAAAGGAACAGGAGTTTCTTTTCAGGTCAACAAACGCACATAGGGCAGCCCATTCAAGTGACCCTATGCAACGCACAGAGTTGCATGACAATCACGCTTTATGAATTGAGTAGCGGGAACGCTCGTTCCTGCCATACGATACGTGAGCAGGGCCTCACTAAGATCTGAATGATTGCAAAATCATCTCAATTTGATTTCAAACTTATGTCACCAACACAAACCCAAAACCCATCAACACAGGCATTAATAATGTCAGATTTATTTACTTACTATTTATATTTTACGCAGCGCTTTACATATATATTGTACATTCACATCAGTCAGATTAGCTGTTTAGCCAGATTAGCCAATTGTTACAGCCTATTTCTGTATACTGTTTATGAGTACACAAATATTTAGATGTTAGGCTGGAACTGCATTGTGAAATGTATGTAGTTATGTGCATTTTTAGCATGCATTTTGGCATGCAATTATGCGTGTTTTGCTGTTTTCCACCATGCAATTTTAATATTCTTGCCAGCAGATCACACAGCATTTTGCGTCCTCCTTCACATGGGAGACAGACTTTGCTATCCCCCTGTGATCCTCAGTGGATCCCATTCTCAGGGTTTAGCTCGGAAACCGATACTACTGTCCCCAACATGCCTGTTTTCCGATTCCCCGGGGGGGGGGGTTGGTCTATCCAATGAGTTTTTTCCTTGATGTACTGTGCCGATCCCACAATAGCCACTTTGGGGATGCAGTTCCAGCCTAGTCCCATTGGCTTTGATGAGAAAGCTAGATAGGTGGTGCTGCCTGTCAAACTTGCCATGCTATGTTAAAGCACTGCAGCCATGTGAACTCTCTCTAGGGCCGCCATTTAAATTTGGAGGTGGGGGAGCATTTTTATGTGCCTCAACAATGCTGTAAAATTCTTGAAGGATGCATTTTTCCTAACACATTACACTACAGTACATAGATATAAACTTGCCTGACTGATTCATGTTCTATGTGTTCTTGCAGTTTGTAGTAGCTAGCTGCATACCATTGGGAGATCACACAGCATTTTGCATCCTCCTTCACATGGGAGACAGACTTTGTTACCCCCCTGTGATCCTCAGTGCATCCCCTTCTCAAGCTTTAGCAAGCTGCCCCCCAACATGCCTGTTTTCCGATTCCCCAGGGGAGTTTGGTCTATTGCCTGAGATTCATGTTCTATGTGTTCTTGCAAGCTGCTGCTACCATTGTCCCAGCAATCCTCCTTCACATGCCTTTGTTACCCCCCTGTGATCCTCATTCCCCTTCTCAAGGGGAAGCTGCTACTACTGTCCCCAACATGCCTGTTTTCCGATTCCCCAGGGGAGTGGTCTATCCAATGCCTGACTGATTCATGTTCTATGTGTTCTTGCAGTTTGTAGTAGCCAGCTGCATACCATTGGGAGCCGCTTAGATGTGGTCACAACCTTAGATTATACTACAACTAGAGCACAATATTTAAAGTGAATAAAATGATAATGAAACATGTGAACATAGTTGTCTTAAAACTATTACTAACCTGGTACTACATTTTGCCAAATCCAGCATGCAAGCTTTTAAGTTATACCCACAACAGTAGCTATGGTTCTCAAATTTAGCCTTAAAAACGGAAGGAACCAAAAAGAGAGTGCAAAATGACAAAGATACAATGGACCAGCACTTTTTGGTATGTTTACTTTTATGTAATGACAGATGGGGTGGCCGACTTCAATAAAA